GCTGAGGAATTGGAGACGTGAGGTGGCTGTGGCTTGTTCTGCTTCTCTGATCTTCCAGCTTTAACCCCAATACCTGACTTCAGGTTTATTCTTTTTGTTTGTTTGTTTTTTGTTTTTGTTTTGTTTTGTTTTTCGAGACAGGGTTTCTCTGTCTAGTTTTGGTGCCTTTCCTGGAACTCACTTGGTAGTCCAGGCTGGCCTTGAACTCACAGAGATCCGCCTGACTTTGCCTCCAGAGTGCTGGGATTAAAGGTGTGTGCCACCTCTTAATAATAAGACCTTTTAAGGTGCATGCTACATCTTTTCCTTCCTTCTATTGATTTTCTTTTTTTTTTCAGAGTTACATATGTATTTATTAAAACATGTTAAAAAAGTATTTTAATTACATGAAAAAGCCCTTTATGTTAAATAAATATTTCAAATGAAAAATACTGAAACAACTCAAAACAGCAATAGTCATTAACTGTGAATAATAGGTATACATGTCATTTGGGGTTTCTGTAAATGTATTTGTTATTTTCATTTTTTAATGATAATCATGTATAATTTTGTCATAACAATCATTTGTGTGTCTATTACTATGATATCCATTTTATTTTTTTTTCTATTGATTTTCTAAGCACCATTTCCCTAAAACGTCAGGCCCCTTCACCCTTTGTCTCCAGCCCCTCCCTCTACCCTGTGCCCCTTCCTCCACCTGAGGCTGACCTCTGTGCCAGCTTAGCTCAGATGGCGTGGCTTCCTCTCTTCCTATTCTCTTTCTTCTTCCTCTGGGCAGCTGCTGAGATTTTCCTTCTAAACTCTAATAGCTTCTGTTTGAGTCCATTCATAAACTCTTTCTTTAAAAAGACCAAGAACTCAGCAGGGCAGTGGTGGTGGTGGTGGCGGCGGCGGCGCACGTCTGTAATCCCCGCACTTGGGAGGCAGAGTTAGGAGGATCTCTGTGAGTTCAAGGCCAGCCTGGTCTACAGAGTGAGATCCAGGATGGGCACCAAAGCTACACAGAGAAACCCTGTCTTGAAAAACAAAACAAAACAAGAAGTCCAGTATGTGACTCCCAACTTCTCCAGTAACATGGAAGGGGCGGTGCGGGGTGGTGTACTCCCCAAAATTTCCGGTCTCATTCTCAAACTCTCCTCTTACAAGTTCTCCACCCCTTTTCTATGATGTTCCCTGAGCTTTGGAGGTGGCGGTAGGTGATGTAGATGCCCCACTTAGATCTGAGTCTTCTCAGTCCCTTACGCTCCACACTTGGACTAGTTCTTTCCACACTAATTGTGACCTACTGTAAGTAGAGACCTCTCTGGTAAAGGCTGAGAGTTATACTACGCAGTTAAGGAGTTTCTTTTTCATGAACTAAACTAAATTTGTCTTTCTCATTTCCTGAACCTACTTTTACAGTTTTTAAAGGGCCCGTGAAAAAGCATCCAACTATCTCTGATAAGAGTCAGGTCCACACTGGTTTCTTACTATTATCTTGATAATAATAAACACATTAAAATGATTTCTTTAAACACAGACTTAATCAATTCAGATGTCCCCACTCACCCACCACAGATGGATCAATCCAAGACATAATATTGTCAACCACCTCTATGACTGTAGAAATTGTAGTGTTGTGTTTGTATGGCACACTGCGGTTTGTGAAGCATTTCTCTCATACACTATTGTATTACAATACTCACTTAGTAGCACCCACAGGCCGGGACAAGGACTTTGTGATACTGTTCTGAGGCCAGTTTTCTCAAGGAGGAGGAAGAAGAGGAAGGGAAGATACACATGTCCCATAGTTCTCGGGCTCTTGCATTCCATGAAAGATTATCAACTGCTCTGCGGAAAAAAAAAAAAATGTTTCCCATTGGGTTTCAAAGACTACATGCACGGATATAAACTGGTGATTTATTATAATCAGCTAAAACATTTGATCTTTGATGTAGCCAAATACCGGGGATAGGTTTTTCTTCAGGCCTGCTAAACACTCTGCACTTTGAACTGAGCCCTTCCCTCAGTGATTTTTGGCTCACTAAAATGACTTTAGCATTTTTCCCCAAATATGATGACTGTGTATAGTACTTCATACCTTTCCTTTAATCAGGCAATAAGGTCCCAGGGGTCCTGTGAATGCATTGTGATGGTCCCTGTCACTCTCTTGTGCTTGTGTTATATATGTATTATTTGAAAATGTATTAAAAATGGAAAGCAACTCTAGTCAGCCACTAAGTACACAGGACTCTGGATGAGATCCCGTGGGGGTTGGTGCTGCTCTCTCTGTACTCAGGAAGATTTGTGGAGGAGGGAACGGAATGTGACTTTAAGAAGGTAGATAGTTAAGGCAGGATCAACAGAACCAAGGATGTGAGCACAACTGGAACTATACCAGGCAAGCCGAGGGATCATCAATGAGTGCAGGGTAGGGGGAATAGGGAGAGATGGTAGGGATAAGATGCCCTTTCCTCCATGTGCAGGTAATAGGGAGAGGCTTTGACTAGGAAACCTTTGTATAATAGCAAGCTCATAAAAGGCTTTTTATTAACTTCACATACAAGGAGTACCAAGCAACTTTGGTGCTAAGATATTTTATCTTTAAAAAAAAAAGTGTTTGTTGGCCTAAGTTCTTTTATCACAAATGAGCAAAGGTATTTAAGAATTTATCTTTATTAGGCAGTGTGTATATTTGTTGGGGACACATGTCTGCCATCATGAGCACGGAGAGCTCAGAGGACAACTTGTGGCAGTTGCTTCTCTCCTTCTGCATAGTTCCAAAGCATTTAACTTAGGTCCCCCAGCTTGGTCGCAAGAGTTCTTATCTGCTGAGCCATCTCATTGGTCCAGAATTTATTACATGTTCTTTATAAACTTGGCAATCCTATAAGACTACCACCCTAGAAACTGCATCTACACCTATATAGAGAGCAAGTTTGCAAGATTTGAGAAGCACAGAAGCTAGCATTGAGCAGTTTTTAAATTTTACGTGTGTGTGTGTGTGTGTGTGTGTGTGTGTGTGAGAGAGAGAGAGA